AAGAGCATCGTTGTGGACCGACTCTGCGGTGAGGCGGTGCTGCGTGGCAGCGACATCTTCGCCCGAGGAGTCATGAGTGCTAGCGCCGGCATCAACACCGAAGACGAGGTCAATGTGTTCGTCGATCTGGATCACAACCACACTAGAGGCAGTGACTTTGCAACACACAATGGACGTAAGCTGCTGATTGCGCGTGGGGTGACTAAGATGGCCAGGACGGAGATCTTCCGTGCTGTGCGAGGACTGGCAGTAACTCAGTTGGTGAGGGTTTGCCCCGATGCACCACCCATGAACGGCGTGATGCGCGGACAGATTTACGTGCAGAATCTGCCGTGTTCAGTGGTGGCTCATGTACTGGATCCACAAGAGGGAGATGTGATTCTCGATATGTGTGCAGCTCCGGGAGGTAAAACTTCTCATGTTGCCACGTTGATGAGGAATAAGGGAATACTGGTGGCTTGTGACCGATCGAAGCGGAAAGCGCTGGAGCTACGTACGCTTTGTGAGGATCTGCATCTCGACTGTGTGGAGCCACTAAAGATGGACTCTACTCACGCATTGCTGCCTAAAGACAAGGTGGACACGGCGCCGCAGAGCGGCGACTACACGAGTGTGGCGCAGGTTCTAGCTCGAGCGAAGCAGAGTACACCAAGCCAAGCTCGCCTTCTGCAAGTAGAAGGGTTCTATCCCGAGACGTTCGATCGCATCCTGTTAGATCCTCCTTGTTCTGCGCTTGGTTTGCGTCCGCGGTTGCTGCACGCTGGTGATGCTGACAACCTGGCGGAGTACACGAACATGCAGCGCAACTTCTTGTGGGTCGCGGCGTTCCTGCTTAAACCTGGTGGAACTCTCGTGTACTCGACATGTACGATCAACCCGAAGGAAAACGAGCAGATGGTGCATCATGCGCTGCAGAACTACCCGCTGAAGCTCGTTTCGCAAGGCGAAGCTCACCTCGGCGATCGTGGTCTGCCTGGTCAGGGTCTTACCGATGAGGAAGCCTCTCTCGTACAGCGCTTTGACCCTGCGAATACCGATCTGGACACCATGGGCTTCTTCTGCGCCAAATTCATCAAGACTGGACCCATTCGACAGGATCAGACCCCAGCAACGCCTTAAGCTGCTGGTAGAATACTCATATACTCATAGATTTTTTCCTTTCCGTTGTGTTGAAGTTGTTTGTTAATCTGTGTCAAAACTGGGTCGCTCCAGAATTATGTGGCACATCATCTAGGTCCATACTGAGCTCCAGTCATTCGATTCCGTTGGTGCTCATTTTTCATTCAAAATGGCCGTCCCTACCAAAGCTGCGGCCTTCGTGGCCTCGTCTCCGTGCTTCGCTGCCTTCCACAGCGCGCAAGTCACGTCATCTTTAGCCGAGGGTGCCAAGAAGTACATTGGTACGCACAATGGCACGTTCCACTGCGACGAGGCGCTGGCTGTTTCGATGCTCAAGCTGCTGCCAAAGTTCGCAGCCCACGACATTTTGCGCACCCGTGACGAGGCCAAGTTGGCCCAATGCGAGGCTGTCGTGGATGTGGGCGGTATCTACGACCCGGAGGCGCTGCGCTTCGACCACCACCAACGCACCTTCACGGGTACCTTCGACCAGCGCGATACTAAACTGTCGAGCGCCGGTCTGGTCTACAAGCACTTCGGCCGCGAAATTATCCAGCACCTGGCTGCCCCCACGACGCTGGACGACGCCACACTGGACATTCTGCACCAGAAGGCGTACAAGAACTTCGTCGAGCACATTGACGGCATTGACAATGGCGTCGAAGTGGCTACTGCAGGAGACGCTAAGCTGACCTACAACTACCAAGTGTCAACTAGTCTGAGCAACCGCGTGGGCTACTTGAACCCGCGCTGGAACGAGGACCAGAGCGAGAAGCGCGTCAACGAGCAGTTCCAGCAGGCCATGTACATGACTATTACTGAATTTACGGACGCCATCCACGACCTCGTGCACTCGTGGCTTCCTGCTCGCGAGATCGTGGAGAAGGCTGTGTCCAACCGCTTCCAGACACACAAGTCCGGTGAGATCGTGCACTT